TATATATATATACACATATAAATATATATGCATATAATTCTCTGTTAATTATAAAATCGTGTAACGCAGGTATGGGTATCGTTCGGGGTTACGCGATCGTGCTGGTCCTAGCGGCCATCGCCTCTGTGCAAGCTTGCGGCCGATCATCTGTCTACCTTAAAGACAACGAGTATCATCAGATACTGATCGCTATCCACGAGGACGTGCCCGAGAACGTTGATCTACTGGATCGCATTCAGACCGTCTTCCACGACGCTTCGCTGTTCCTGTACAACGCCACCAGGTGCGTAAACTCATCGGCGCTTCTCTTGATGAACCGATTTTCATACTGCCTATGTTATGACCGCGATGAACACGTTTGGTAGTTTGGTCACAGATTTCGGTTACACGCTCATATGCTCATACACACACGCTCGCACCTTTTTTTATTTTGACTGCGTGTGATTGGTAAGTTCGATTCGTAGCCAGATCACAGATTTCAGTTACCAAGAACACTCTCGCACCTTTTCTTTATTTCGGTTGCGTGTGATCGGTAACCCAGATCCGTGGCCACGTCATAGATTTCGGCTACTAGGTCCGCGTGTTCGCATGTTGTAATAAGATAGCCAGTCGACTGATTACCCCAAAACAGAGCCAGCAGGGTCTTTAACTTTCCATTAAAGGTGATGTGGGCGGACACGGAGTCATTATCGAACGTGTTAACTGGTTGTACAGATGTGAAAGGTAGCGAACAAAATATTGCTACACTACATAGCATGCTCGGTAGCTAAAAAGTCCCGCAGAGCACTGCGCTTTTGGAGATGCGAAATCAGCTTTTGTTTGTACAAGATAGGGTAGCTTTCTTTCTTGCTGTCGAAGTAGAGTAGTCGTTTTGTGTAAACCTTGACTACGGACTATGTGCTGGTAGGCGCTGCTATCCGATATCGTCTCCATATATTGACCCTGCGTGGTCGCACCCACGACGCAGTATAAATTTGTTTGATCACTGGCTCTAATTGAAAACACACGAGATACGTCCTCATGTTAAATTTCTTTTAGATAACACAAATAAAACTACGAAATTGTTCAAATTTCTTTACAAAATTTTGAGATTCCGGCAGGAGTCTGTCGGATCTTTCCCTGGTACGAATAAATATTTATTTCTCGCATTCTCGGATTCTCGGATTTCTCGGATATATCTTTATCGGATTCAGTGCTTTCGCGCTGAAAATCAAATTGTGAATCGCGCTCTCTCTCGTGCAGATTTCGCGCCTACTTCCATGACGTCACGATCCTGGTGCCGCAGTCGTGGCCGGATCGCGGCTACGAGGTGGCGGTCAATGAGAGCCTCGACGTCTCGGACGTGGAGATCGGCAGCCTGCCGGACGACCATCCGTACACCGTCAACCCGAACATGTGCGGCGACCTGGGCATGTACATACAGATAAAACGCTCAACTGCCATCGACGTGCTTATCAACTTAATTTATTTTCCATAAGCTGTCGTTATTGAGATTTCAAGATGTGTCGCGTTAAAACATTCGTAATACATACATTCATAATTACTGCATATCAAGTAGGTGCCAATTGCGTTATTTATTAGTTATTACGCGAAGACTGCTTCACGTTTCTCAGAACACGTTTCACGAAGAACCCATACTTGTTTGTATAGCCTAGCCTAGCATGGCGCACATCGGCTAGTACGCGCAATATGCCGCATTTATAAAAAACACACCAACGGTTTCCGTTCAATCAGTATTCTTCATTCGGATGTCATTTTCCGGAACCTGAGGAAGTTTCATAAGATATTTTTATATACTAAAGATGTATATATGTGTAACGTAGAGTGTCTCGCTAATCCTGGATTAAATAAACCGATGAAATGACTTTACCTTTCTCACATTCTCTTCATTTTTCGCAGTCCTCGCCCATTTACATTTCTCTTCTCATCTGATTCTGTTCTTTCTCATCTGCCTCACCTTCATCATCCACAGTCACAACTTTATTTTTCTACCATGCATTAAGCAAACGTGTCCGTATGAGTGATTTGTGTGACCCCGCATTTAGATACTACGTTTATAACTGATGAACTTTGAACAATCACTCTATGCATTTGGAACATCCAACCTATGCACTTGGTACGGGAAAATGGCGGCGTTCTGAAACGCATTGTCCACAAGTCGGCCGGACCTAATTTAACATAAAACTGTGGGCGTAACAGGGTAATTATATGATTTAGCAGAGGTTAATCTCCCTCTTCAAAAGCATGGATATTTTTCGTTATTTAGACGCTCATACTATGTGGCAGCATCGCTCAGCGGGCGACATTTATTTCGAATTGTCGAAATGTTGCTATTATTTAATGACACGCATAATGCTCCTCACCAATGAGAATGAGATATATTTCCCAGCCATCTTGGCGCATGTCCGCGCATGTATTTACCGCCTACACTGGACCTGATACATTTAGGTGTGAACACGGTATTTGCTGTATAAAGTACATTTGCATGCCATTCATGATGCGTTTTATCAGACGATTTTGGCAGTAGCAGTCGAGTGTCGTCAATAAACAGGTATGTACGTCCGGGCGCCGGACGATTTTTACAAATAACCTTCTTCGATTATTGATGTTTTATATTGAATTGCTTGTATAAGTTTGCAGTTTATTTTAAAATTCGCGTAATATGCAAGGACTGCATATGGTTGGCTGCTGTATAGCATGCCGTCACGTTCTGTTAGAACGTCAATTCGTCAGTTCAGTAATTGGCTATACGATTGTTAACTACATGTGTGTGACATGCACGAGGATATGTAAATATTCGACAAAAATGTCGTTTTAAACTGATTTAAGAACATTTTGTGCGACAAAAAAAACAATGCAATAGTCTCGCTAATGATGATAAAGATTTAATGTAATTATTTCTAAACTTTATTATAAATAAAATTGCACATTGTCTGTGCGATATGGAGCATAATTTTAGAAGCATGCTCATTCGGTAAGAAAACATTGGCTCACCTGTGTTTCCGTGAAGTTCTTACCTTCTACTGTTATCTCCACCTTGGCATGCAGTGCATCCTGTTACATAACCATTATGGTAAATTAAATTCAACGAAGCCACATGCGTCCAAACCTATTATTTTTCATATGTTAATAACAAGCCAACGCGTGGAGTTGCAAAAAGCCGATAAAAATCTGCATCATCAAGGTCATCTAGCTTGACGATCGGGGTATAAAGGTGTATGGTTCCGTGATTAACGCGGAGCAAGAGGATTCGCGCGAAATATAGACATAGAGGCTTTCTGAAGAGCTCATCCGACATCCAAAGAATCCATTTACGTTAGATATGCGTGCACTAGGCGCATCACTATTGATTATTATCATTACTAATATCCATAAAGCTCCGCACAAAAGTCAATCAGTACCGGAAGCTTTTTCATGTTTATGTTTCTTTTTAAGTATATAGATGTAGAGCTATTATCGGATAGTTCCCATACACTTCAAGATTTGAAAGAACGAACGGAAGCAACCAATATACTAGCTCCGACACTATCACACAAAAACTTGGTTAGTTTCCCATAGACTTTAAATGGCTCCCACACACCTGAGCGTTTTACGCTACCGAGTGTACTTTGCTATTTTCTGCCGCGCTGCATCCGAACAGTGAGCGTGACGATTTATCGCGGCATGAAACGCTCAAGTGTGTGAGATCCTTTAGGATAAGGCTACGAATCCATTCACGCGATTTTCGAGCAGCAAACGCGCGAAAGCATTGTACTCGTCCGGTGGGCCGGTCCAAGAACAGTGCTTTCTAGCATTATCCGCTCGAAAATCGCGTTTCTCACGGGATTTTCATGTGAGCGATGCCGCTACCTATTGTTTTCCCTTGAAGATAATAGGTTGCGGCAGGGCTCGCCTGAATGTCGTGTGAATGGATCCTTGAAAAAATCCGTTATGCATGTGGTCAACAGAAGATTCCAAATGTGACTTGTCGAAATTTGGTGCAATGAAAGTTCTTTACCATTCAGATTAAACGAACAGAGTCTATAATGGCAAAAATATACCTTACTGAACAGTGTATACACTAAAACACATCATATGTAGATTACATGTAAATCATTTATTAAAAAAGTAAAAAACGAATAAAATTGCAGTCAGTTACAGAGCCAAATTTATATTTACACAATTTAATATTACCTTCTTCAATCTGCAACATGTATTCCCATAGTTACAATAAACATTATAAACTAAACATTGTGTTTCTCTTGATTTTCCACAAATTTCAATTGCTTGGTGGTGCATATTCGTCCGAGTGGGTTTTTCTAAGTAGATTTGTGTAAATGCATAAAGTTGGATATTTGTGACCCAGTCTGTGAAAACCCAGCTAAAGTCGCCCAGCAGTGACACGGTCAACTGATCACCAGGTGGTACGTTTTACCTTCTGAAACAGAAGTGCGTTCACAGCAACCTGTCATTGATTGGCGGAACGGGTCCAAGTCTATTAAAGCTATTGATATGGCAAACAGACCAATTATAATAACCTAATCAGCGAAGTAGAGACCCCCAAAGAAGTCGTGTTATCAGTTGACAGTAAGAAGACATAACCATGAAAAAATAATTACCATTAAAAAACACTATATATTAACTAATAATAGGCCAACTTCTCACCTAGCCGCTAAATGAACAAGTATATCTTTTGATACTAATTTTAGAAACATGCAACGAATTAAATGGTTGTTGCAAACGTCATCTGTGCATCGCTCTGGCTTATAAACGAATTAAAAATAAATAATAAAAATATTCGTAGCCATCTCGGCTACCATACTACAGGTTGCAGACTACAATTTTTTCTTAGCGGCGAATAGATAAGTCAGATATAGAAACAACTCAAGCGCAAATTTAACTGGGTGATATAGTAGCCTATCTAAAGAATATGACACGCGGAATAATAAACTGCTTTGTTACAGCGATGTTAGTATATTCATGAATGGTTTTAGTGGCAACGTTGTTAGCCTGCAAAATACGTATAAAACACATTTTCTGCAATCATCCTCAGTATAGTCTTGTATCGTTTTATAAGGCAAAATGACCCCGTTGACCGACAATCTATAGAACTTGCTAGTTGTAGTTTATACCACCCTAGTACCTAGTCGCATCCGAATCCATGAAATGATAATAATATAAACTTTGATTTTACAGGGACCAAAGATTCTGGCAGTTCATGCCTAGAAAAGTAGTAGATCCAACGATATCCGAACCGATGGCGACACCGGACCCAGTTTGACGTGTATCGTCGGCCATGCAGTGACAGCAAATCTCACAGATAGACAGACGTCTAAAGTTTAGGCCTAACGTCGGATAGTTCTAATAGTGAGAACAGCTAGTGAATCGTCTGTAGCGATAGAAACTTAGTTGTGATTATCACTTCACAGAAGTGAGCTCGGTGATAATTGCCGAAATCCATCCTTAAATTTCCACGATGAAAAAGCATGCTTACGATCGTTTCACGGAAGAATCGTTGGTCTTACTCAGTCGTTAGTTTTCTTTACTCGGCTTTCACCTGGTCGGTTTAAACAGCGAAGGTACTCGCTGTCATAGATATCACGTTTATTTACCCAACTTGATGTTTAGGTACGTGTACTAAAACACGCGTGCCATCCGCTGTCATGCATGGCACATTTATACACACATATATAAATCAATAAATATATATATATATATGTATATAATACATATATTATAGGTACAAACGTGTATCATAAAACGCTCCACTGCCATCGACGTGCTTGA